ATTACTGAGTGTTTATTATGTGCTAGACACTGCTCCAGTGCTGAAGACAAGGTGGATAATGGAGTCCAGCTGCTGTTTGTTTCATGAAAACTATACCACCTCCTCTCCTCTCCCCATCTTATTTCAGAGACCTCACTAAGTTCTCGAACTGGTTAGGTTTCCTAGAGAACCCCTGACCTCCATTGTTCCTGCTTATCAGGCTCCCACACTTTGTCCTCAGGACCCAGGGTGCTGAATATGCATTTTAAATATTAAATATGCCAGGCATGCTGGTGCACACCTTTAATCCCAGCACTCGGGAGGCAGAGGCAAGTGATCTCTGAGTTTGAGGTCAGCCTGGTCTACAGAGTGAGTCCCAGGACTACACTGAGAAGTCCTGTCTTAAAAACAGTCCATCCCCCCACAAAAGAAGACAAATCACTAAATACTGTTATTGTTGTCAAGTCTTTAAAAAAGAAAAGGCAACTATGCTCTATAAAAGAGAAAGTTTTCCTGTCACTGGAAGCCAGCAGTAGCATCAGGGGATCGGCAGGGCTCCCTAAAGCCAGTACTGCACAAGGAGGTTAAAGAGCGGTCAGCAGTCCTCTTACCCAGTGACCAACTCCAACACCTACAGAGTCTGCATTTCTGAAATGAGTTATGCAACAAAATTCAAGCTTTAAAATTCTTGTTGCAGAACAGTTACTATGTCCTCTCTTCACATATACAGACAGATACAATGTCATAAGACCATTTTCCCATCACTATTAAACATTTTAGCTTTGTAATCACTGTTTTAATTTAAATGTTTGTTCTTTTCTCCTCTTGTTCAATGACCACTAAACCAACCATTTAACTGAACTTCTACTTTAAAATTTCTATAAATATTCTTAACAATGAACATAGCTCTGGGGAGAATGTAATCCCAGCACTTGGAAAAGATGAAGGGTGAGGATCCCTTGAGTAGATCAAGACTAGCCTGAGCAACACAATGAGCCCTGTCTTTAAAAACAAAACACTTGATTGTAAGCCTGGAATTATTCAAAGGTCTCATGTAGCCCAGTCTGGCCTCACTCAGAGTAGCTAATGACCTTGAACTCCTGATCCTACCCCCACTTCCCAAGTGGTGAGATTACAAGTACAAACCATCAACTCCTAAAAATCAGAATTTAAATCAAGGTCAAGAATTAAGAAGATGCCAGGCATGATGGTACATGCCTTTAGTTTCAGCCCTTGGGAGGCAGAGGTAGGTAGATCCCTGTGAGTTCAAGACCAGTCCCAGTAAGTTCCAGGACAGCCAGGGCTATTTAGAAAGACAAGTCTCAAAATACAAAAAAAGAAAAAAGAAAAGGAGTTGGAGAGCTGGCTCAGCCATCAAGGGCACTTGTTGCTCTTGCAGAGGACTTGGGTTTTATTCCCAGCTCACACATGGAATCTCACAACCTTCTGGTCTCTACAGGAACCAAACACTCACCGGTGCACACACATACATGCAGGCAAAACACTCATATACATAAAACATTAATTTAAAAAATAAAAAACTTAAGATTCTAAAAATGTTGTCCCATGTCTTGTGAGACTTACGATAAATAGTTTAAAAATAATATGGAATAAAGCTGGGCAAGATAGTTCATGCCTGAATCCTAGCACTTGGGAGGCTAAGGAAGGTCCACCAGGGAGGGCTAAAGGCCAGCCTGGACTACAAAGTCAGTTCCAGGACAGCATGGATCATAGAGTAAGATGGTCTTTAAAAACTAAAGGGAGGTGGGGAAAGGTACACCATATGGTCAAAGTAGAGATAATAAAATTGAGAATATCTATTACCAATCCACTAATGCTAAAGCCAAAGCCCACATAAAGAATTTAATCCCACTTAGTGACTGACATGAGCCAAATCTCTTGTGCAGAGAAAAACAATCCAATGAACAAACTAATAACTGCAGATACTACACTTCTAAAACAAAATCATTGTGGCTCACTAAAGGTGAGCACTGACCACATAGCAATTGATTGGTGAGTCCAAAGAGCCCTAGCAGCTCAAGGGCCTTCTCAAGGCTACCTTTTCCAATAGTACTAACAGATAATAGATTTTCTTAAATTATACTTAGTACAATTGTGTGCATGAGTGAAGGATGACTTGCAGGAGTGCATTCTCCCTTTCACCCATGCCCCCACCGCCACCCCCAAGATCTAACTTAGATCCTCAGTCTTGTCACTGAGTACCTGAACCCCTAACCCAGTTTTGTTTTTTGAGACAGGGTTTCTCTGTCCGGGAACTTGATCTGCAGACAAGGCGGGACTCGAACTCACAAAGATCTGCCTGCCTCTGCCTCCCAAGTGCTGGGACTAAAGGCATGCACCAGCACCGCCCAGCTAGCCCAGTATTTTTTTTTTTTTTTAACTAAGTGAAACTAACAAAGCATCAGTATGTCTGTGCGCCACTTCTTTTGAGTTTCTCCAGTGGTCAGTATAAATCCACCTTGCATAAACTCCGAAATCTGCCTCATTAGTAGCTTTGAATATTCTTAAAAAAGAGAGACAAAAATATTATGCAGACTTTGGGGAAAGGGAGTCTTTAGACAAGCCTAGTCAGTAGATAGCCCAGGCTGCTCCAACTTGCATTGATCTTCCTGCCTCGGTCTCCAGAGTACTGGGGTTAGAGGACATCCTACCACATCTGGTCTATTCTGCAACCTTCTACATCTAAGAAAATTTACCCGGCCCCCACCCCCAAATCAGACATAACTAAGGTTATCAAACAAAGAGAAACCATAGTTTTGATGTCAGCTCAGGAGCTATGTAAGAAGTGTTTGTGTTGTGGATGAAGTTCATGGCAGATGAAATATAATTCTAACACCTGGCATCTGCAGGCCCAGGAGCCAGGCAGCAGGTTATGAGCACACAGCCTCAGATAACCTACTTTTGACTTTCCAGACTCTCATCTTCTAAGAAAGAATGCACACTGTAGCTGTGAAATAAAATGCAGGCAGGACCCTACACCTACAGTCTAGCCTCCCCATGGAATCCTGTCCTACCAAGCTGCACTACATTCCTGTACAGGTCTGTCAGAAAAGTCTGTCTCCCTTAAGTCAAATCAAGCCAGAACCTAGTTCTGTTGTGTAGAAGCTCAAAGCCTGTGCTCACACTTCCATCCCTGGCCAAACACCCAGTGTAAGACAGGAGAAAGGGAACTGCTCTCCTTCATTTTCTTTTTGCAGTATGAAGTACCTTCCAGAAGAATCCAGAAGAGATTTTAGTATGAGAACTAAAAGTCTTATTTTATTCAAATAAAGACCGATTAAAAAATAACTATTTAGAAACTGATTAATGTTTTCTCTGAAAACCCATATTCAGTCTCCACAGTGAAGTGGAACTTTTCACAAGATTAACGGTGCCATTTATTTGCTAATCATGAAAGATCATCTACATTTTTCCTTAGTTAATAGTCAATCTCACCGGCTACTTAACCACACAAAACGCTAGACTGCTGCTATCAGACCAAACATAACAAAATAGCTATTACTACCAAACACTGCGAGTTACCCGAAATTTCAATATTTCCGAACAAGCCCCGTTAGTATACTTCATTATAAATACCACAAATTCTCCTCTCAAAATAAAAATTCTGACACAACCTCTGTAAAGACGAACTGACACATACAGGGATGCTACTTGGGGATGCTAAACGTGACGTTTAAAAAAAAAAAAACGAAAAAAAAATGTTCAAACATATCAAAAAGTCAAAAGCCAAGCTGCAGTTCCCCAGGGGAAACCGAGGCTGTGGAGACACAGAAAGGCTAGGCCACCCGGTGAGGGCTCTGGGCAGGACAGTGACGTCCAGGCGAACCTAGGACCCCGGCGCTTTTCCTCTTCGGCCCCGGCGGCGGCCACCGGGGCCGGCCTTTGTTTTCAGCCCCGGCGGCGGCCGGCGCGGTCCTAGCTGACAAAGGCGGGCATCGCCATCTTGTCGCGGCGGCCGGACGCGGCGCCCATTCATTCGCGGGGCGCTTGGGGCCGGGAACGCCGGGACCAGGGGAGCCGGGAAGCGCGGTAGACAGCGGGCCCGCACCCGGCAGGGGTGATGGCTGCATCCGAAAGACCCGCCCCGCGCACGCTCTCCCCGCGCGGCCCTGCCGGGTCCCACACCCCGCAGGAAGGCGCGGTCGAGAGGGCAGAGCTCGGCTTTTGTTCCCGCGGGGACCCAACCTCGAGCAGCAGGAGCGCCTGCAGAGCGCCCTTCACCCTGGCCCGGCCCGCCCAGGTTCGAGTTCACGACCCGGCCCCAACACAGCATCCCGCTCCCCTTTTTGAACTCAGGACCACCGCCGCAATCCGGCACCACGGCCTAGACCACTCCACCACAGCCTCGGTTCCGGGATCGCGGCTCTGGGAACCGAATCCCGACACTCGGCCCGGCCTTGAACCCCATACCCCGGCCCCGGTCCCGCATCCGGGATCAACACTGTAACTTAGGACCCCGGCCCAGGGTCCCAGCCTC